TTTGGTATCAGTTCAATTCCGATTAGATTTGATTGCGTAAAATTTTTTTTGCAAAAAAAAGTGTTCAATCATCTTTCACAGACATATTATACACACAAAGTAGAGTATCCACATTAGTGTTTCAAGAAGAAAACGAAATTGATGTCAACCAATGTGTTTAGAGATAGATGTCGGTGGTATGAATGAATGAATAAATCTTTGAATGAGTAATAATTCTGTCGATCATCGTCATCATCATCATCATCATCATCATCATTGACGATCTTTTGATACTTCAGCTGCTGGATTCATTTTTTTTCCTCTCGTTTTGTTTTTGTTCATTGAATTGGTTTCTTTTTTTTACTAAATATATTCCATGAACGATTAGATTCATTCGTTCCATCGTTGAACATGAATGAATCCAATCTATTTGATATATAATAAAAAAAATCTCCTTGTTGTTGTTCACCATTCACTTGAATTTTTAGTTTCATTTTTTTTGTACGGATTCCATTTTATATGAACTTTAAAATGAACCATTTCATTCAATGATGAATTGATGAATGAGTCGAAAATGATTTCGTGATTATGATCATGAAGAAAAATAAATGCTACTGCTACTTATATTTTGTATTCAATGTTTTCGATGGATGAGATAGATTGCTTGAATAAAAGAAATGGAATCTTGCCTATGAGAGTTTTTTTGCCCAAATAATTGTGGTCTTTATCATCAAGATGATGATAGGGTTTTGTTTGTTGGAATTCTAGTTGAATTCTACGATTGAAATAATAAAATTATTTATAATTCTTAACTGTCATTTTAAATCATTTTTACCGCTGTTTTGCTTGCATATCTGGTTTTTTTTCTGCCAGAATCAGAAAAATTCCTTTTTTTTCTCTGAATAAAAAATGAACTTTATTTTTAATTTCTTTGAAATTATTTTTCAACCAAGTCCACACACATTGTTCATGTGTTGTATAAGCAACTTACAAACGCACAATGAAACACTGATGATGAGGCAAAAAAAAAAAAATAATCAGAGTAAATGATAAAGTTTAACGTAGTTTTTTTTATTAGTACTGATTCTGGGTTCCAGAATTGGTTCTGGTTTTGTTTCCGGAAAGTTTTTTAAATGAACACCAGACACACAGTTGTTTTACAAAAAAAACACTGGTATTTTTTTTTGTTTTTGTTTCAAATTCCAAGAACATTCTTGTTTTCTTTTGTCCATTTGTATGTATGCGTGTATATGTGTGTAGAAATAATTTTTCATTGTTTGAATTCATTTTCTATTATTTTTGCAATTGCCATGGTTTTTTTTCAAAACATTACAAATTGGATAATTGATAAAATCGTTTACACTGAAGGATTTTTTTTTTCATTGAACAGAATTTACTATAGTAACATTTGACAAACAAACAAAACAACGAATTTATCTTGATTTCAACATTCAATGATTTGATTTAATGAATTGAAATTGAATATTTTTTCCTCCATTCATTCACACAAACGATGAATGTGTGTGTGTGTGTGCATGTGTCCTAGGTTCGGTATATACAGAATTTCCATTTGATTCTAGCTTTCTTATTCGATTGTTTTGTTCTCACTCACGAATTTTTGGAATTGATCCAAAACTTTTTTTTTGCTGTATGTGTACATATTCAATCATGACTAATTGTATTTTGTGTATGTCAAAATACTCGAAACATTTGCACATAACTATTTTTTCTCTAGTCATAATATAGAATTGTGGAAAATGTAGAAAAAATTTTTTTTCCAAAATCATTCGTTAACATTTAATTTTCTTTGCCCACATTTTGTCTGCTGCAGACACTTTTATTGATCCATGGTAAATTATATTCCGTTTGCGTTTGTTTGTGTTTGTGTGTGTTCGTTTCTGTCAATTATATTCACTTCCTCATCATCTTCATTGTTCATTTTTTTTCTCTCGGTGTTTGAATTATAAATTAAAATCAAATCTGACAACAAACAAAGTATAAAATCGGAAATCACCAGTGAAATGTGTGTGGTGAAAAATAAAATTAAATGACATTAACGTTGATTCAATTTTCAAATTTATGGCCAAGACAAACATTAACAGTCTCGTGTGTTGTTCTTCTCTGTTTATGTTGTGGAAGAATTTTGAAAAAAATTGCCCAAAAAATACCCAGAACTCAACCGTTTATACTTTCCATTCACACTTGGATCAATTTTCAACACATTATTGAAAGCAAAACTAAAATGAATGTATTCGATGACAAAATGAACAAACATGATGGAAAAAAAATTGCATTGATGTGATGAATCAACTATATGTCCGTAATGCAGTATTTTCTTGTTGTTTTTTCTGTTCGTTCCTTTATTTTGTTTGTTTGTTTTCTTTGTTAGTCACAGCAATCGTAAAACATCGAAAAACGTCGATTGATTGATTCCTGTTATTTTTTTCTTCTGGTTCAATTAGATTAAAATGATTGCGATTGGGTTAACATTGAATATGTGTCTTGCTTGTTGTTGTCGATGATGTTGTTTTGTATTTATTCTCACCAAGATTCTATAGAAAATGACCATAAAAAAAATTCTAGATTCTTTTTTTTTCGAGAAAAATTGTTAATTGCATTTAAACAATCTAATTCAATATATTCTATATGGAATGTTCCATGTTGTTTGACATGTTTATATATCGTTATTGTATATAATTTTTTTTTCTCTTTTTCTATCTTCACTATACACATCTATTTTTTTTTTGTTGTTGTTGTTTTCCACATTTATTCATTCATTCATTCATTCATTTTTTTTATCTTGTCGGCATGATTATTATTATTTACGATCTTGGCTTTCGCTTTAATTGAATTATATGTAAATATTTGTTTCGCGGATTCTCTTTTATTCTCTTCATCTTCGTATATATTTTTCGTCATCACCATCATCATCAACAACGTCTAAATGGGTGTTTGTTTGTTGTTGTTGTACAATAATAATCTTTATAGAGATTATTACAGACAGACAAACAAACAAATTTTTTTTTGTTCAGTCTTACATGATGATGTTTCTGGAATTTTCGTTGTTATTAGAAAAAATGACCATAATGTACATATGATGATGATGATGATGATATACTTGCATTTATGTATAAACAAAGATTCAAGAGCAAATGATTGAAGAAATGAATAAATGAAAATGTTGATGATGATTGAACCAAAAACAAATGGGTCAAAAAAAAAAATATACACGAAACACACACACACACACAGACATGAATGCATTTATTTGATTCTGAAATTCTTTCACAAACATTGGCCGATTTTTTTTTGTTGCTCTGAATGCTTGTTCATTTTAGTTTTGAATCTCGAGTACTGTTATGTAGGATTCATTTTTCCATTCGTTTGTTCATTGATGTTGATTGATGTACAATACATACATGGTGTACAAAATGAAAAAAAAGTGGAAACGATTTGTGTGTGATAGTAAAATTGAATCCCACAATCACGATGTTGTTGTTGTTGTTGTTTATTTATGAAATTCAATTTGCTGTTAAAGTTTTTGTTTTTCTTTTCATCAGAGTTGGCCAATGTGTGAATGTGTCATACACCGTGGCGTAAGCGAATGTGATTTTTTTTTTTTTTTTTTTTGGTTAATGGGAACTTTTTTTTTGTCTTTGTTATCCAATGCATGCCATCCATGTACAATTTCGTTTAAAATTTTTAAACGTGTGTGTGTGTGTGTGTAACATGGTTTTAAAAAAAATTCCAAGAATCCATTTTATATAGAAAATGGAAGAAAAAAAAGAGGTTCTTTTGAAACAAAACAAAACAAAACAAAAAATTTTTGATTCAAATTAATTTTTTTTTACTACCATTCTGCTAATATACACAGCATCATCCTTCAGTCAATTCATACTATTCATCTATATATCACTATCTTTGTTGTTTGTTTTGTTGCATAAAACCCAGTGAGTCAAGTGTTTTGACAAATAAACAAGAATAAAAAAAATTTCTGTGAATGATTGCATTTGGTAGTGTGTATAGTGTGTATTAGTCGGTTTTTATCCCGCTGATTCTTTGGATAATGGAAATGGTTACCCACCATCAAAGAAAAAAAAATGAAATATATGGCTTCTATGAAAAAAAAATTTGAGTGAAAATCTAAAGATAAAATCGTTGACTATTTGTCAAGCTGTTTTGTTTGTCTGTTCATGTAAATTTTTCTATATTTCATCATAGTTTATATTTGTTAGATGAAAAAAAAATAATGATGAAAAGTATCATTTGAATAAAATAAATGTGGCCATAACACCGATTTGAATACAAGACGATGTTGATGACATCTTATTCATTTTTTTTTTTTTTTGATTTTTAGGCCATAATCATAACCATAAAATTTATGAATCCATAAATATATAATCACGACCAGTTTAGTTTTAGTCAATAAGCAATGTTCATTCATTCATTTTTTAATGCAAAAGCAAATCGATTTGAATCAAGCTGAAAATCGAGAAAACAAAATGGTCTAATCTAATCTAATATAATTAGATTGAGAAACTACAAACAGCACACACACACACACAATATATAATTTTTTCTATCATCATTTTTTTTTGGTTTGAAACATAAATTGGATGAGTCAAATTGTTCATTGTATTTGTGTGTGGGCGCCGATGGTATTTTTTTTTATTAAAGGTTTTTTTTTGTTGAAAATTATGTTGAACATGAAGACGTGAAAACAACAACAACAACGACGACAAAACCCTTTTTTGCATATTTTTTTTTCATTATTCATACGATGATGATGATGATAATAATAATTATTCGTCACGCATCTAATTCTTCTTATTCGGTTTTTTTTTTTGTTACTATTTTGCTTCAATGATTTCTATGTGAATATATGTGTGGTTAACTTGAGTAGATTGGATAGCGGAAATTGTTTTTGATTCACATAATATACACTGTTTAGAATGTTTTCTTTTTTTGTTGGGCTAATCTAATTTTCTTTTTTCTCTATTCTCGTTTTTTTGAATCTATAGTTATGTATGCACTGGTTACAATAAAGCTGGTACCGTTTCGGCTAATGTCACATTGACTGTCCTAAGACGATTAGAGGTTACCGCTGCTGCTTATTCAGGCCAAGAAGTTGCTGGAATTGTTATTGGTGCATTATTCATTTTTCTACTCATTTTAATATCAATATTTTCTGTTGTATTACGGTCAAGAAAATTATTACATTTTCGTACAACAACCACCACCAACAATGGTCAATCAACAAATAGTAATGCTAATAGTAATCAAACAATACTCGGTTCAACAACGGTCACATCCAACAATAATAATTCATATCATAATGGCGCAAATGGTAGAATTCTCAATGGACATATACAAACAACAACAACAACAACACCAACAACAGTATCTATACCGAATGGTACATTGAAAAGAAATTCCAGCGGCAATGCAAACAACAACCACATCGACAATAACAACAGCAATCACATTTTATCAACAGCCACAAATAAAAATATGACCAATAATGAATCGAATAAAATGAATAAAGCCAACTTGATAGTGGCTATGAATCATAATGATGATTCAATGAAAACGAATAATAATAACTCTTTGGTTCATCATCAATACGTTGTGATGCCTGATAATAATCAAATTAAGAATAGTAATAATGATAAGATAAACATCATAAACAATCAGCTAGCTGAACAAATTGAAATGTGTGATTATTCTTCGGTCAATACGGCAGAAAACGTTAACAACAATAATAATCAATTCATAAATCAACAACAACTACCAATGTCCATGTCGATTGATATGAAAAATTTAACACAAGCATCTTGTACAGGAGGAGGAATTCGAACCGCATTGTATGGCAATCATAACAATGTTAAATTTTCGCCACAAGAACGCTTTTTTCATAGTGGCCATAAAAGTCCAGTTATATTCAACCAACAATATGATGATGCTATTATTTCCAAAAGAAATATCAATCCAAATTCACCATTTAATGTTAAAATTGGAACTATGTGTAATATGCGTTCGACGAATCCATACAATACATTGGATTCTCATTATAATCACATACAAACTGCTACTATTGGTCATCATAATCCTAGCCATTCCATGAATAATAATAGTGCCAATTTTCATTTTAATCCATATACAGCCGATGTCAACGGTCATCATCATGAAATAGCATTTTTTGAATCAACCATAGCCAATGCCCATTCCGGTGGCTCATTGTTAACGACGACAGCGAAAAACCCTTATGGACAAATACAACCGACAACTCGTTTTTCGTATGATGTCAGAAATAATGAACAAATGTTGATGAATCGACGTATCGATAGTTCTAGTCCATATAGTGAATTGATACTGCAGAACATGATAAATCAAAATAATCATTCACTATTCGACCATCAACGACATGTGGCTGCTTCTGTGGCCGTCGTTGAAGAATTACAAACACGATTTGCTACAACTGCTACAAATGAGGCTGTAGTTTGCCAAATGAAGCGTAACAATAGTATGGATTCATCGCCATCACAAGGAACTGTAGCAACAACAATGGCACCATCATCATCATCATCGACAACATCATCGGGTCAAGTTGTTCGATTTGCCAATACACCAATTGTATACAATTATTCTACATCATCTAGTACAATCAATAAACAGGCAAGCCCATTGAATCGTATCAAAAATGATGGCTTGAATCCATTGATGGCCAGAGATTCACCTGATGAAGGATTGGGCGAAGAGACCGAATGATGAATCTCTTTTCCATCCATCTTTTTTTTATCGATTTGTGTCTAAAAAATTATTCTGTAAATAACACTTTTATTTTCAATGTTGATTGGTTTTTTTTCTTCTTTATTTTGTTCAATTTGAAATGTTTTTTTTTTGTAAAAATTTTTTATTACTACAATTTTAATGAATAAATTTTCATTTCTCAAAACAAACGATTTGAATCATTCCAATTTATATGGCAATCAGGCCATTTAGTTTGAATAACACATTCCAATGGTGATCGATGTTTATCATCGTGAATAGCGCATGACTGTGTGTCTGAAAATTAATTTCCGAGTTTTGTGAAAATTATTCGCAAAAAAAAATAATAAATGAATAAATTTCTAATAATAATAATACCTACCAATCGTCAAATGTATTTCATTCTCTTGATTCATTAAACCATCATAATAATAGAGTTCGATTTGATGATGATTGTCGTCATTGATTTTATCTTTGGCAAATAATACCGTAAAATGGTCTTCACTAAGAATGACAAAAATTGGCAGTTTTGGTGATTTATAACATGAACCAACCTGTTCATTGAGTATAATGGGTCAATTATTGTAAAAAAAAAATATTTTATCGAGTCTCATGAACGTCATCACCTTAGCACCGCCACCATATTCATAAAGAGTTAGAAATCCAATTTTAGATTGTTTTTTCACACCTTGAAGAACTAATTCATCGCATTTCAGATTATTATCGAAAACATTCGATACAGCACAGCCAATCAGACAAAGATTGACCAATTCTTGGCTACAGAGCAATGTTTCTGGTGTTAATAATGCCTGTATAGAACCTGGATCATAATCATGTTGGATTTCTTCAATGCCTCTTGTAAGTATACATGAATAAACGAATGAAACACAGCCAATATTTTTATTTGAATGTTTGAATATTTGGCATAAAAAATCAATGAGTTTTTTCTTGGATTCAAATCGTCCAATACGTAGGCGTTCTGTAATATTATCGAAACGAAAATCTTTTGTTTCATCAAGAATTTTTTGTTGACTTTCGCTATGAATTTGAATTCAATCAAATTAATTTCGATTACAATTCATTGATTAACATACATTGCAATGATGACTGATTGATCTTTACGTTTGATTTGCCATAGAATATTGCCAATAGCTTTACTTAAACATTCGTTCCTATATCTATGTAAATCTTTGACATTTTGAATATTTTCCACACGATTCCAATGAAAAAACTCGGCACATAGAAACGCTTGAATCGATGCTAGAACACCACAAGGTCCACCCTAATGATGTGAATATAATACATACATCAATGTGTAGAAAACACTTTTAAATTTGATCATATTACCTTATGTTGAACTAATCCATACCAAAGTTGTGAATTTATTGCATCAAACTCGAAATATTGATGAAGCCATTCTGGGCCAATGGACAATGCTGCATTACCAAATAGTATCCGTTTCAAATTCTGACCAAAGAAAAAGAGAGAAAATATATCATTTATGATATATTGAGTTGAATTCATTTATTTTACAACCACTGCAGTATCATGATCAATTGGTATGGTTTCGAATTCCATGCAATCAATAAAGTTATTTTGATTGATTGATCTGCATTGAATGTCGTCTAGTACTTCAGCATCATCATCATCATCATTCTTGTCTTCATTGTGGATATCGGTGATTTCAAGATCAATTTTATTGTTTATGAATTGCTGTTTGAATTGATTACCATGACTGTCATCGATACTATTTTCAATAAATGATTTGTTTGTTCGAACAAATAAAGTTTCATTGTTGCTTTCATCCATTTATATGATTCACTATTAATCGAATGTATATTGAATTCATCTATTCAGCTGTTTGTTTTGATTTTTGTTTGACATTAACCAACCGTATATGAGTAACTAAGGAAAAACCTAAAGTTTCTAATGGCAACGGCTACTATAACAGAATCAAAATTGAAAAAATAAACGCTGTAGTCATTAGATTTTTCAGTTTAATCATATAAAAGGTTTATTTATTTATTTTGAAAAAAATAACAAGCTTTTAGAGATATATAAAAATTCCTTTTTTATTATTATTTCCAAATGAACGCTTTTCAAACAATGGTAATGGTGAGCTAGTTTCATTTAATCACGAATTTTGGCCAATACAATGGCCACACGAGATGGAATATAGACCGTCAATGAATTTCGACGGCCAGAATAACCAAAAGGTTGAGTAAAATATTCAACATTTGAATCAAGTAAACTATGACCTCCGAATTCTGGTTCATCCGTATTGAGAATTAGCCGATAGACACCGGGTTTGTCAACACCAACACGATAATCGGAAAAACTTTTAGTGGGATGAAAATTGAATACAAACAATAGGCCACATCGTTCAAACACAATGATTTTATTATCTTCGTGTTTGCATGAAACATATCCACCTATAAAATGGGAACAAACATTATTAATCAAAAATAATTTCGATAATAAAATTGATCGACTTACTGTCCTCGATACTTAGCCAATGATATTTATCTTCAAATTCATTCATTGCACGATCAAAATTATTCAAAAATGAATAACGTAATAGGTCATCATCGGCCAAATTAAATTGACGTCTAGCATAATGATAACTATCGCCATTACCTTCACGAGGAAAATCTAACCATTCTGGATGGCCAAATTCATTGCCCATAAAGTTTAGCCAAGCTTCGCCTCCTTTATGATTGGATATGGGAGAAAATTAGTAAAAAAAAACAAGAACCATAACAAAAAAAACTTGCCTAATGCATTTGTTATCAGGCGAATCAATTTATGAAGAGCAATGCCTCGATCAATGATAGGAGTGCTTGGAGTTAATTTGGACATGAAACTATACATTTCGGCATCCATTAACCAAAAAGCAATAGTCTTATCACCAACCAAAGCTTGATCATGAGATTCAGCGTATGCTACGGTTCCTTCTTGCCATCTACGATTAGTTAACGTATGGACAATATGACCCATATTCCATTCATCGTCTTTGAATTCTTTCAATAATTTGATCCACATATCTGGTATGGCCATGCCCAAACGATAATCGAAACCACCGCCACCGTGTATGGTAGGTCTACATAAAGCTGGCATTCCTGAGACATCTTCGGCTATTGTTATTGAGTTTGGATGAAATTCATGTACTACATAATTAGCTAATTGTAAATAATTGAAAGCTTCGGTATCGGTATTTAGTCCAAAATATTCATTATAATCGCCACTAAATCCATGGCCTAAACCATGTGAATGATAAAGCATTGAAGTGACGCCATCAAATCGAAAACCATCGAATCCATATTCTTCTAGATACCACATTAGATTTGACAATAAGAAACGAAGAACTTCCCAGTTTGTATAATCAAATAGCCGAGAGTCCCAAAGATCGTGATTTCCACGTCCATTTCCATGGAAGAAACATGAATTGGTCCCATCAAATTGATTCAATCCGTCAAGAACATTTTTGGAAGCATGTGAATGTACCACATCAAGAAGAACATAGATATTGTTTTTATGTGCTACATCCATCAAATATTTGAGATCATCTGGAGTTCCATAACGACTTGAAGCAGCAAAAAAAGAAGTAACCTGATATCCAAATGAAGCATAATAAGCATGTTCCATGATAGCCATCAATTGTATAGCATTATAACCTAATAATATATAAAATGCAGTTAACATTAAAATAAAATATGAATCTTATGAATAGTTATCGAACCTTGTTTTTTAATTCGAGGAATCAAGTTGTCAGCAAATTCCCGATAACTGGCAACTTTATATTCTGAAGATGCAATGCCGATATGTGATTCATATATTCGCAATGCTCGAGGCTTGTCCGGTTTTTTCTCTTTTAAGACATATTTATCGGATGGATTCCAGAATACGTGATCATAAGTGAATAAACCAGATGATTTGGGCGGTTGAACTACATAACTAGCCCATGGATCTAAACGGTCAACCAATTCTCCGGAAGGAGTTTTGATAACCAATTTAATTTTACTCAAATGTTTTATAACAGGTGATCCATCGGATGTGGGCGGAATGACAAGTTCCCATTTTCCGAAATCTAATTTCTTGAATGGATGACTAGTCTGTTGCCAATTATTAAAATCACCGCGCAGATAAACAGCCTGAGCACCTGGTGCCCATTCTAAACATCTTATTGAATTGTCAGGTAAAACGTGGATGCCAAATTCTCGATATGAATGTATGAATTTTTCAATGTCTAAATAAATAAATAAAAATAACTTTAAAAATTGAACTGTCTAAAAAATTTTATTTCAACATACCTTCAGCTTTATGAATATTGATGAGCAATTTTTGAAATTCATCATATCGACGTCGAATTTCTAATTCATGTGCACGAAGATTCGGATCAAGGGTGAATAATTTTTCAAAGTCAGGAACTTTGATTTGAAGGTCATTTGAAGTGTTTCCGTTTTCTGCCATTCTGCAAGCTCATATAGAGTTATATTTTGATCAATAAATATTTTTAACTTTGTTTCTTATTCATCCATACACACACACACATGTGGTCGTCATTCACAATAGAAATGGACGCTGAATGCTGTTATTTCAATTCTTTTTGCATCTTGTCATTATCAACATTTTTACATTTATGTTGAATGTGAATCAAAGATTTTCTTCATTCAAATTGACAATAAAAAAAATTGATTATATCGATATCTAGCGGATAAAAATGTCAAATAATCGACCGATAAATGTCATTGCATTCATTGATATAAAACACAAATCAACAAGTGAACATATTTTCTTTTTTCTTCAAGACGATATATAGATGATATATTCATAAATGATGAACCGAATTCTAATTAAAATAATGAACAACAATAATAATAAATTAAAAATGCCAAAACTCATAATAAACACACATACCGTTTGCAAAAAAAAAAAAAAAAAAAAATTAATAAATGAATTAGATATTGGTGAAAAAATCGAAAACAATTATAGAAATTTATTATTAGGGAAATTTTTCTTTTTCAATCTCTTTTAAAATATAATAATAAAATTGCAATGTGGCAAAAGAAAAATTTTGAACAAGAAAAATTATGATGAAAAACAAGACGTGACAAATAATATATGGAACATAAAATAATCAATCAATCAATAGCTATAAGTTCATGTGACGGTATAAAATCATAAACGTTGGTTGATAATTGTTATCATCATACTAATTATGGTGAACAAGGGAATAGAAATACTTGGTCGTAATTGAACTGAATAATAAAAAAAAAAAAATAATGAAACAAGAAAGACCAAGAATAATGATAATATATGTGTAGATGAATGAATGATATTGGCATATTTTTCAAGTTAATTGATTACCCAATACATTTTTTTTGGAGGATTGATTGAAACCAACTCAAACAAAAAAATCAATTCCATGCAACAATAATATTGATTATGCAAATATAAGCCATACGATAAATATGATTGCTAGCCACATGAATAATTTGGATACAAATTGATCTTGAGCTAGATCCATTCCGTCCATCATTGGACCGGGACGAAAATCTCCAATATTAAAAGTACTGGCAAAAAATCCAAATGGAACGGCACCAATACCGAATGACATGTGAAAACCATCACCAAAGCCGAAATTCGGAAATCCCATCTAAAGAATGGATGAAATGATGTTATATGAAATGAATGTCGAAATATATATGCAGCAATAACATACCGAACTATAATCTTGTTCAGACCTTTGGCCTTGTGGACGTGGTGGAATTTTCTTTTCACGTGGGTCCTTTTTCGAACTACCACGACCATACAGAGGTATCACTTGATCACGGGAGATAGGATTTTTACATACTGGACATGTTGGACGAACTGGTTTCGTTTCGAACCATTGATGTAAACAAGGCCAACTATAAATTGGAAATGAATCTTCAATTAAAATAAAGAGATAAAATTCACATGAATAAACTTACCAAAACAAATGACCACATATACTTACGACGGCATCTTTGGCCGTATCGAGGCAAATATTGCAATCAAAATTTGATTCTGTTCCACTAGCACCACCACTACCGGATTGATTTGATGATGGGCCATTATTACGGTCATTCGATGATGATTTCGATGCTTTTGTTGACGATTGTGATTGATGATCCATTATATTTTATAATATTTGATACTTTGAAAATGATATTAAGGCAATGTAAAAATTATATGTCGACCACTATAGCTCCTCTTTTGTTCAAATCGTTTATTGTTGTTGTTCATTAAATCAATTAAGATGATGATGAAATCGATACATTCTTTATTTAAATTTCAAAAAAATTCTATGATTAAAAATGAAACAAAAGAAAAAAAATTACTTATAAACACAAGTATAAAATGACGACGAAAAAATTCAAGTAAATTTCATCATAGTAATTTTGTTAGAGGAAGATACCATTGATTTTAGGATATCCCACGATATTCTTACATCATCCTCATTGATAAACTTGAAACAAAAATAAAATTCAGGTAATAATATTCCAACAAGATACGTACGATTTAATCGAATGAAAAAATGTTTCTATTATCTTTATAACTCATCAAAACATTACTCGTTCTGTTTGATCGTCATCGATACTTTTATTCAAAAAAACGATAAAACAAGCACTAGAGTAAATGCATATATTCAAGTGTTTATCAATTGAATAGTTTCTCGTATTTGAGAGCTGTTTTTTCTAATATTTCTGGTTTTCAAAAAGTGAAGGAAAATTTTTGATTAAAAATCAAAAAAAAAAATCGACTTATGACGAATGATTTCGTTGTGAATTTATGTCGCGTAATCAATTTTTTTTTTAAATTTTGCTTTCTTATTGCATTTTATAGATTATCGATTTGTACGAACAAAAAACATAGTACAAACAAAAAAAAATCAAATCACAAATAAAGTCGTCGATGATCGAATCTGTTGTTGTTTTGTTATTGTTGTTCATGTTATTTGTTCAACTCGCCAAAATATTATGATGGTTATGATTTCGTTTCGTGGAAAGTTTCTTTAAATGAGTACAATAAAGTTTTTTTCGGAAAGTTTTTTTCCATCATCATTATCATCATCTAATTTAAATTTGATGAATGATGATAATTATCATGTTTAATACAAGGTCTTCATTCATTATTAAGTATGATGATGGATCAATACATTTGAAAATTGGCTTTATCGATCCATGGATCGATATATTAACATTGGCCAAAAAAGAGAATTTTAGAATCATTTTCTTTGTTACAAATTACACCTGAGCGTGTTTTAAATGTAGCCAAAAAAACCATTTTTTTTATGAAACAATGAATTAAAGAATTGCAATGTTATCACAATAACAATTTATATTTTAAAGATTAACCATTAAATTCAAAGAAAATGTTTAGCCAATTATACAAATGAAAGAAAAATTTCACCATCCAATTTTTGAAATGGTTGAATGATTGTCATTGCACGCAAATTGAGCATTATTAATTGTATGACTTTTTTTTAAATAGAATAATGATGATGATGATAATTATTGATCTAAAAATCGATTAAATTAATGCATATATGCAATAAAAAAAAACAATAGTTATTGATTCAACCTTGATTTCAATATTTTTGAATCATTATTTTTTAGTTACATCCACTCTGGTCAAAAACATTTTGACAACAGAAAATATTGAAAATTTTTGCTCATCAGCATATGTCATATTCACTTGTGCTATTTGTTCATCAAATGTTGGTAATGAATTACAGGTCTCCGATTCTGGATTAAATATGTCCTGATAGCAAAGAAAATTGGTTACACCACCAAGTAATTTAGATATAACATTCTGTAATATATCTTCTGAATCAATTTCACAATTTTCACGAATCTTTGGCATTGTACATAGTTCCCATTGTCTATATGCACAACATCCGGCATCCACTGCATAATCAATTGGTGAACGTTCACGCTGTTTTGAATGTGCTTTCATCTCTCCCCAGGCGACTGTTGTGAAAAATGGATTATTACATTCTTTTTGATAATCTGGTTGTGATAATATCTTCTCATGAATACATGGAGATTTTTCCAATAAATCTAAAAATAATGATATTTTTTTTTATATATTAAATAATGTTATGAATTTATGAAAATTAATGATAAAAACTTACCATTTCTGAATTCAGAATTTGAATCACAAATCTTGTTCATATGTTCAAGGATAGCATCGGAAATAACTTTACTCAATTCTTTATGTAATGGTGTGCCACATTTTTTAAGATAAGCCAGAATGCATTCAGTGAAATCTTGTTTTAAAACTCTAAATTTTAGTTTTTTGTTGTTGTTGTTGTTGTTGAAAAAATCAATTTTAGAATTTAATTTCAAAATTAATCTTCATTCATCAGTTACCTGCAAATTTTGTCCAAACCATCGTGTGATGTTAATAAAAACGATGGATCATGTTGTGAATCTTTCAATTGATGTAGTTTATCGAAACATTTTTCCATTTCAATTAGATGACATTTTGGATAATGACGAGCATAACAAATTCGAACGTATTCCACACAAACAATGATGAATAATAATAATGAAACATTGGTGGGCTTCATGATCTTTATTTATCAAAATTCGCGATGTCAACACACAAAACAAAATTGACAAATGAAAACCGAATTTCTTTTCACTTTAGACTTTATATATTGATGATTGATCATTGTCTTGAAAACTTGAAAAACCGATCGTAATGCAATTATCGATAAATTACTTGAATGAAAAGGTAATTATAGTTTTCTTATAGAAATTTCTACATTTTTTTTTGTTGATTAAAATCATTTTCAAAACAGGTATTGTTCATTAACAAATCCATTTAATTTTTGTTGACAAACTTGAATCACAAACAATGGATGTAGAAAGAAAACAATATTTTTCATCAACTCATCAATTTTTTTTCACTTTCAATTTTCTCTTTATTCAATTAATGAGCAAAAAACAAAGACAGACATAATTATTAAATCGTATAATTACGTTGTTGTCATTCATTTGAATGCACCAATATTATTGGACATTATCATTACGAAAGATGAAATTATTTAGAAATGATTGTTAGAATTTTACCAATCATTGACGTCATCATTGAAATAACGATTTGTTCCAATGGTTATTTATCCGATTTGATAATTTCTATTCGGAGATAAAAACATCATTGAGATTAATATTTAACAAATTTTTGGAAAAAGGATACAATCTTTCTTTTACTTTGTATCTGTTGTTGAACTTGAATTGGTGAAGTAAGGAAAAATATTCTTGAACCAGGTTGTTGTACATAAACAGTCTAAATGATAAATTTTTTAAAAAATTGGATTAAATCAGTGTCAAATTCATTTTTATATCCATTACCATTTGTTTAGGATCCTTGGTTTTGAGCATCTTGTCGATCTATATAATGATGTTAGTTTATCATTAAATATTTCGTCAAACAATTTAAAAATTGTAACACTAACCTTTTCTGCATCAATTTTAGATAATGTTGGAAATGGATCCATGGATTTTTTTTTTTCGGACTTGAAGGATTCATGAATCAAAACTGTTTCAGTACGTTGTTTTTGAATTGCTTGCGTATTGAAAATTTCGAATATATATAAATAGTACCACTACCATTGTGTATATTTACAAAAATCACACACACGTTTGTTGTAGCGGCTATATAATTCAAACATTTTCCTTTTCCTTTCCATGTGGCTGAAGCTCAATTGAATGATTGTTTTGGTGTTTGAGTTTTTTGAATTTGATTTGATTTTTCAGCTTAAAAATGGTAAGAATTTATCGAAAATTTTTGAGAAAAATTATTTCAATTAACATCAAATTATTTTTTCTTTGCAGGCTGCACATAAAACTTTCCGTATAAAAAAAGTATTGGCTAAAAAGAAGAAACAAAATCGGCCAGTACCACAATGGATTCGAATGAAAACTGGTAACAAAATTCGTTACAGTTCAAAACGTCGTCATTGGCGTCGTACCAAACTCAAGTTGTAAACCACTGGACAAACTACCCGAGATTCTGGGGGAACGATGGTGATGATTCGAAAAGAAATCTTTCGAGAGACATTTTTGTATTTTGTAAGCTTTTTTTTTGTTCATCGATTATCATCCCAATGTTCTTTTGAAATAAATTTTTTTTAAACTTGAAAAATTAATTTTTAAGAAAATAATTTATTTTATTATTTTACGAAAAAAAACAATCTAACAAATTGCATAGATGATAATTTACAAAATCATGTTTTACCCATTCATGATTATCATGCTTTTTTCTTTGATTTAGATTTATTTTTCGTTCTTTTATCTTCGATTTTGATTTTAATTTCTACTTTGTTCGGTTCCGATGATGATGATGATGATGAACCATCATTCACTTCGGTAGCATTGTCATCTTGGAATGTTTTATCATCAAGAATTTTTTGCAAATGTTCCATTTTCAATTGATGATTCGAATTAATGGTTGTGTTTGTATTGTTGTTGATTTTTGATTCATTTTTAATTTCAATATTATCTAATGAAAATATTTTATTACTACCAGGTACTTGTTGTAAATGTTCAATTTTTAAATCCACAATTGGAACAGCTATTGTAGTCGTGCTAGCTGTTGTTGTTGTTGTTGTTGTTGTCAAATATGTGGATGTTTGTCGTGTTGATGAATCCAATGTCGTTGCAATGGTCGTCGTTGATGAACGATGTCTTCGACGAAAATAAATAGTTGCACCATCTTTGCTTTTTTTAAATGATCCAATCATTCCCCAATTATGCCAGCCACGAGCACCATGATTTTCAAATTTTCCATGTTCAAATACCCAGATACCGAAACGGGTACCATCGGTAAAGGCAACACTTCCATAAAAATTTACTCCATATAATTGTTGTTGATGTTCTTCAGCTAAATTGAATACAATAACATTATATTCTTGTCCACTTCGATAGAATGCCGTATACAATAGATCACGAACAAATGCACCACGATTCCGTTTATGATGTGAAGCATCACGAATATATTTGGCAATATGAAGTGTATCAATTTGTATTTGAAATAGACCGACTGCCGAAGCCGCTAATGCTGTCAATATCGGTACAATTGGTGCATTATCAATGATGATAATATATTGGGATAATAATATCCATAATGAAATCAATGATGATATCGAAATTAGTTTACATTTTTGCATCTTTTTTCTTCTTTATTTATTCGTTTTTTGTACTTTTTTTCGTTGCGTATATATTCTATATTCACTATTGATATGCATTCATTACGAATGAATATCAATAGCAATTCGTTGTTATAAATGATGTTTTGATCGATTCACCGTGTGTGTCTGTTTTGATGAACTTACCCCACCAGTTGATAACGATTAAATGTGGATGCAATCATCTCTTGATGTATATTATTATACATTAACCTTCTAACACCAATGACCAATAGTATATAGTACCATACAACAACAACAACAAAAAAACTAGTTTATATCTTCAAACATTATTGATGTGATGCATTTTTTATTTTATTTTGGCCACCATTTTATTTTCACACCATTATTTTCAATGTATGTAATCATTCGTTGTCATTTTCTTCGTAAATCATTTTCCAAGTACAATGAACCGTAACCAAATGTATTGCTTAAATTTGTCATTTGAAAACTTCCATGCGGAAAATCCGATAAAAATTTTTGATTTTTTTTGATGATCATCATTAATTCATTAGAATTAATAAATGATTGTTTCTTTTGTTGTTGTTCATATTGTTGCAATTTTTTAGTCAAACATCATACTAAATATACAGCCGTTTCAGATAATGGATGCATTTTACTTGTTCGTTGTTGCAACGAATCATCATATGAACCGGATGGATCACTAGGTGTTAATGTAGGTGTTGCCACATATCCATAACCATATCGTTGCATCATTGAAGGTTCAATTCGATAAACTCTACCCGTTAATTGACTAGCCAATGATTGTTGTTCAGAATTTCTTTTCGATTTTGTTGTTGTTGTTGTTGTTGGATATTGATAAACACCTCTTGCTGGTATTCTACCATGTCCAGGATATACCCCATGACCTGGATAGCGGCGAAGTTGTTCAACTCGTTTATGTCGTTTTGTCAACATAACATTCGATTGTTGCTGTTTCTTTTTCGGTTGTTTTTTCTCTTCACTTAATTTTACCAAATGTCTGAATATATTATATGAACGCATTGTAGACATTATTGATGTTAATAATAAAAATATTGCAAAAACAAATATTATCAATGAATCGATTGCTACAAAACAGATTAATGTTAACAATGCAAAATTGGTCAATTTTTCTCTGATCAACATCGTACCAATATGACGAGCAATGGCTACATATACGATTGGAAAGAAAAATACAATAATAAAACTGATGATAAATAGATAAAAATTATAATTGGCACGTATACGAAGATTGGCAATACTAAGAATATGATCACCAATTTTAAAACAAATGATCAATATAATACAAACAACAAGTGTGCCAAAAAATACATTAAATCCTTTGACAACAGCATATAAGCTTGGATGATGCCATAATTGTATACGAGGTAATTCAGTAGTCCATATGGCCGTATTCATTAATGCCAACAATAATAATATTAAATGATATGCAAGGAATAATAAAATTCCTGAACAAAATTTAATGCACGACATTTTGCATTGGCAAACGATTGTTGCTGGTCTTTTGTGAAAATGATGGTCTATTCCTTATTGGCAATGTTGTTGTTTAGAGGTTATGGTTGATGATTAATAAACACATCGATTATCTTCAAAATGAAAACATCGTCGTTGTCGTTTCTCTCGTTTTGAAATGATTAAAGAAAACTAAAAAAAAAAATCATCATTATGATGAATACATTTTTCCATTGACTGTACTTGGCTGTTTTGGCTCTTTTCCCAATGATTCTACTTATTACATATGTCAAGTATGAATATTTCTGGCTTCAATATCAACATACACACACACACACACAGTGACATTCTCTGGCTTTTTTTCTACTGTTTTCTATGAATTTCAATGATATTTAATTAAAAATAAAGAATTTTCATCTGCTTCAGAAATTCTTCTTTCTGGTTATTTGATTACGTTTTTGCAATCTACCAGACATTTTTTCATTTTTATTTTGTTCCATATTTGTGTGATAAAAACAGAGATCCTCAAAAATTATTGGAAACACAAAATTTTTTTTTTTTTAACTTTAAAAATCATTTATTTGTAATAATGATTAATTATGAATGAATGATAAAGAAACATTGTGAATGATGAATTACAAACAATAATAATTCACATATATAATGAAAACAGTACCATTTATTTAGTACTGTTTTCTATACAGGTATTCATACTTGCCTTTTTTATGTTTATATTCCATATGTGGAATTTTCTGCACATCCGGTGTTTGATTAATACCAGTTTGTAATGGCCGATGCATTGTACATTCAGTATCATGTTGGCCTTCTAGTCGTTTTTTACGCATTGTCATATCGATTAACATTTCACGTAAATCACCATGATTTAATTTTGCACGTCGTAAATACCAGCCATCAGCATAATCATGAACATTTTTAGCTGAATCATTATAATAATGTCCAGCAGCATGGCCACCTCTCATCGAATTGATTAGATCAAATGATGGATTGTATATGTTGGACATTTTGTTGATGATGATGATAATAATAATGAATCAAATGAAGAACAACGAGGATGTGAGCAAGAATTTTTTTCTTTTTGTTTGTATTCGTGATCGAAATTCGTATAAGATTCAACATCAAATGAATATTCTGGTGAATGAATGACAAAATTTTTGTTGGTAAAAAATGACATTCTTGGTAGATGAAAATACAACAACAACAACAACAACCGATGACGACGATGATGACGATTTATGGTATGTGTGTGTGTGTGTGTGTGTAGATCAATGGTTAATAGCTTTGTATGTTCGAGAAAAAAAAGCGAGGGACGATACTTTGATTCAGAAGAATTTTCATTTTATTACTAAAAATATATATAAATATCTAGATGGGAGATTTTTTCCCAACATTTTTTTTGTTTTGTTTCTCCTATTACACATCAATTATTACCATCATTATTACTACTGAATGAAGAAATAAAGATGATAGTTGATGTACAATATGGTTAAATATATGTGTATACGTCATTGTGAAGATTATTGTTGTCAAAAGATTTTGGCATCTGTATGAATTGAATAAAAACAACGGCATTGATTGCCTTGATATAATCCGGTATATATGGGAAAAAACAATTTTCATCAACAATTATCAATATTGCACCAACCTTGAATCACATGAAGACATGATTCTTGACGATGATCATTTAATCGTATTATTATTCAATTAATATGATTAAAAAGAAAACAAAAAAACCAAACAAACAAAAATTACCACAAGGTTAAATTTGAAAAAAATTGAAAAATTTTAATTCATCATTTATTCAATCAAATAATAATTTTTGAAAAAATTCTCGAAAGAACATTATTTTTATTTTAAAATGTATTATTATTCAAATGAATACAAACACCACCTACGCATATATAATTTTTACCGTATTTAAGACAATCAGCGTTGAACATACAGTCTTGACATCTGCCCATAAAACAGCGTTTATTGTATCCACAATCAAAATCATATTTACAAGTCTGAATGGGTACGATACCAAACAAGACGATAAATGCAAACGAAATTAAAATGATTTTGTTCATCGTTAGATAAATGTTGTCGTGGTTGTTGTTAATGTTGTTTGTTGATAATTTTGCTGTGATGATGAGATATAGCATTTATATCCATTTTTCCATTGCTATAATTGCAATCAGAAATAAAAAAAAATCACCAAATTCTATTGCTTAATTTGACATTGTCGATAATTTATTACATACGATGCCATTTTTTTACGCAGGAAAAAATATTAGAAAAATAAAATCACAAGACAGATTTTGGCATTTATAAATTAAATTTATTTTATTTATTATTATACTCGATGAAATCAATAAGTCATTATTAAATCGATCAAACAAAAAAAAAATCATTTTTTAAGTGCATCGATAATTGACACAATGTTTATGGACCCAATTCTTCTTACAATCGGCATCACTACGGCAAATTTTATGTTTGCTTGGAATACAACGACCAGCTGAACATTCATAATAGATACCGTATTTAAGACAATCTACGCTGGTAATACAGTCGGATACACCTTGACAGACACCATTAATGCAACGGGCATTGGCTCCACAATCAGAATCATAAACACAAGCCTGAATGGATACGATACCAAACAAGACGATAAATGCAAACGAAATTGAAATGATTTTGTTCATTGTTGAATAATTGACGATATTGTTGTTGCTCGTTGATGATTCAAATGAATGATGATTTCGTTGAGATACCTAGTATTTATATTCATTTTTTCAAGTGCTCTAATTTCAATCGTCAAAAAAATTTACCTATACTATTGCTTAATTGGATATTAATATTGATAATCAAGTACATATGGGATTAATGTTCAAGAAGAAAAGAAATTTTTACGATTGCATCAAATTGCAATAAATACGAAACAGTTTTAGAAATGATCAATTATCCCAAATTGCAATATCAATTGTCATTTGACTCTTGAAAATCGTTTTATTGTATTTTTTTTTTGTTTTAATTATCAATCAACAAGTGGATATCGTATCCAATGATAATTTTTACGAGCGTGTATGTCATTATTCTTTTTTACACAGGAAAAAATAGAATAATGAAATTACAAAACAGATTTTGGCATTTACAAGTTAAATTAGTTTAATATTCAATGAAATCAATAAATCATCATGAAATCGATCAAACAGAAAAAAAATAATTTTTTTTAAGTGCATCGATACTTGACACATTGTTTATGGATCCAATTCTTTTTACAATCGGCATCACTGCGACAAATTTTATGTTTGCTTGGAATACAACGACCTGATGAACATTCATAATAGATACCGTATTTAAGACAATCTACGCTGGTAATACAGTCGGATACATTTTGACAAGCGCTGTTAATGCAACGGGCACTGGGTCCACAATCAGAATCATAAACACAAGCCTGAATGGATACGATACCAAACAAGACGATAAATGCAAACGAAATTGAAATGAATTTGTTCATTGTTGAATAATTGTCGATATTGTTGTTGCTCATTAATGATTCAAATGAATGATGATTTCGTTGATATATCTAGTATTTATATTCATTTTTCAGTGTTCTGAATAAAAATATTGATAATCAATGGGACATATGGGATTAATGTTCAAATAGATAAGAAAAAACTTTACGATTGCATCGAATCGCAATAGATAGGAAACAATTTTCAAAGAAAAAATAATCATCAATTGATTTTCAATGAAAAATTGGCAATAATTTTATTGCATATTTTTTTTTATTAATATTTCAAACATTTCAAAAAATAAATTAACCATAATCAACAGGTGAATATCGTATCCATGATAATATTTATGTCATTATTCTTTCTTACAACAAAAACAAATATTAGAAAAAAATAAAACTACAAGACAACCAGTGTATATACAATGATGAGTTTATTTCATTTATAACACATCAAAAATAATTTTTGATAAGGCCATATCGCATATTAAAAATTAATGATTGTGTATTGGTAGGAGTTTTTTTTTTGTTTTGTTTATGACGATACAACGATGTGTAGTGGAGATATTGCATTTAACATTATCAACAATGACAATAAATGAATGAATGAACAAATAAACAAATGGCCAACTAGAGCAAAAAAAAGGAAAAAAAAAATACTATTTTACTATGAATTCCAATCGTTGTTGTCCATTGAATTTTCTCGTATAATCATTGTTTTGGACAAAAAAAAATAGTAATAATCATGATTCATTCGGTATTGATATTCAATACACAAGGAAAACCAAGATTGATTAAATTCTATGAATATAATTATGTAAGTAATCATTATGAAACTAACTAAATTGAAAAAAATTCTACAATTTTCATTTTTCATTTTTTTTGAAAATCATCATATTAGCCACCAGACATTACCAAAGAAATTATACGCTGTGCATATGATCTAATACATTATCGTGATTATTCGGAATGTCAATTTATTGAAACTGATATGTAAATTAAGAAATTTTTTTTGCAAACAAAAAAAAATAAAAATAAAAATTGAATCAATTTTTGTTCCATAGTTTCGATATGGCAAACACTCGTTGTCAAAGGCCAAAATTGGATGAACAATTATTGCTAATGTATCGTCAATATGCAACATTATACATTATATTCATTGTTGATAATGGTGAAAATGAATTGGCCATATTGGATCTTATACAAGTGTTTGTTGAAGCAATGGATCGATGTTTCAATGCTGTCTGTGAATTAGATCTCATTTTTAATATGCATAAAATTCATTATATTTTAAATGAAATTATTGTCGGTGGAATGGTCATCGAGACCAATTTGGATGATATTTTATCACGTTATAAAGAACAATGTAAATTGGAAAATGAATCGGTATGTCAATATATTTTTTTTTGTTCAAAATTTTATGTACGGACGGTGTTGAAAGAATCTTGTGCAAAAAAAAAAAACAAAATTATTTGGATCTAGAAACAAAAAAATTGCAAATAATTTCATCTATATTGTATAGGATCAACAAATTCAAGGAATAAAAGCAATGGCTAAATTACGACATCAAATCAATTTGGAAGGACATATCAAGACATTGCAAAAAAATTTAAAACAAGGATTAAAAACTGCTACTAAAACATAAAATTGTATAAATAATCAGTTGAAAATAACAAAAAAAATAAATTTATTTTTCTTTTTTTTTTGGACCCTATAATCATAAATCAAAATAATTCATGGTTACATAAATGAATAGAATAAACAAAACAAAGAATAAAAATGAACCAAAAAATCCTAAAGTGGCTGTTGTAATGAGAATAAAAAGAAAAAATTAATTTCAATAATAATTTTTACAAATAATAATCATTTTTATTTACCTCGTTTGGGAATTTTATGCAAAACAATTCGATTGTCAACCGAAACAGATACTAAAGCTGCATCAACATCACCACCAACAAGTTCTAATGATGCCTGTGTGGTTGAAAGAAATTCAATACCAGTAACAAATATGTTATGAGCTTGACTGAATTGATAACATCGTTGAAGACTGAATGCAATGAATACATCAATGTCACCGGTTTGTTTTCCGACAGCTAAAAATCTACCATCATCACTAGAATAATGAATGAATTATTAATTTGAATTGTAATTTAAACAATCAAATACCTGATTGCCATGGCAAAAAGTGGAACATCACCGGCTGAAATAATTTTTTGCATATAATATTGATCTTTCTGTATGGTCCATTTACAAATGTATGAATCTAATTTGGCTCGACTGTTGAGCGCTACAAAAAGGCGTACATTATTTTCATCACCTTCAACTATTGAGTAACGACATAATCGAGGTAAATATTTTGCATTGGTAAATATTGAAAGCTTTTCTTTATTCGTTGGTTTTGGTATCACTTGACTATGTTCCAATGATGTGACCAATTTGTAATTGTTAATATTCCAGATTAAACTACGGCCATCTCTGGATACGCTAGCTAAATGACGACCAGATGGATGAATATCTATATCATCGATTTCATTTTCATGAGCTTTGAGTCTAGTTAAAAGTTTATAATTTGGAAGCTGCCAGAATCCAATATGACCATCGGCTCCGGCACTAAAAACCATATTGGCATTCAATGAATATTTAATCAATTTTTGATAAGGTTCATCCGAATGAAAATCTGTTTGAAAACTTTCTTTAAGATCAAAATCAAAAATATAATCAGGAATGGTATTTGGAACGGAATTTTTCTTATCACCGTCTTGGTTATCATTATGATGAATATCACTATCTGTTTTAAGTTTATTCTTAATTTCGACCGTCGGACCATGATATTCTTCGATATTCTCTTCAATATCTTCAATAGAGTTCTGTGAACTTAGGCTCATATGTCTACGACGAAGATAATTGCTTGAAGAATTATTTTGATCATTTGAATGATCATCATGATGATTAGTAGTCAGACCGTTTTTGAATCTAAATTTTACATCATAAATATGGCACATTCCTTGCATTCCACCGCAAGCCAATTCAAATAAATATTTCGATGATGGAATCACACACATATTCATGATTGCATTTGCACCTGTAGAAAATTCCAACAAATAATGATTGGTAATTTAGTAATAATCATTTTCTACTCACCAACATCAAAATGTGTTGCCAACGTTGCTCTGGCCGTATTTGTTACAGGATCATAAGTTAATTCATAAATTTCAAAAGGATTTGATATCCCAGTTTTAGCCATACCTCCACCACCACCGATCAGAATATGACGTTCAGAAATTGATTTAATACAATAGATTGGAAAATTGACTCGAGCCAATAGACTAGCCCTTTGTATATCTTGTTCGGACATTTTTTTACTCGGTTAAATTGCTGATTCAAACAATAAAAACAACGAAAAAAAGGTGATGAATAGCGAAAAAATCATCAAAATTCGGTGTATGCATGCATAACACGTAAACATTAAATCACCGCTTCACAAATATATTTCCATGGTGATATAAATCGTATGGTAGGATCGTTCATAAACACTAGTTCATAGAAATTCAAATTTTATACAAAATATATAATTTACAGAAAAATCAATCTTTATTTTCATTAATATTTCATCGATTCAGATTATGAATAAAAAAATCATTTGAGTAAATTTCAATCAATCAAAAACAAATAATTATTTCTGTATGATGATTCTGATCTGTCCATATGTTAATTCATATTTATCGGGTATTCCATTTGCTTCGATAATTTCGCGCGAATAAAGTCGTAGAAAAGCATTCTTGACATAATCACTTAATCCTGAAGCCATTATAGAGTTTCTTTTGATTGGATCTTTTTCGATCAAATATTTTTTCGTCAAATTAGGAAAATATGGCAGAACATCTGTTTGAAAAGAAAATGAAATATGAAAAAAATGGATAAACAATTCTTTTAAAGAATCTACTTACTTGATCGAAATTCATCTTTAGGATAAAGTTGCTGAAGATGAAGTAATTCAATCCAATGAATATTGAATTTATTTTTCTCAAATAAAGTTCTCAATTGTTCTTTCTGTTCATTTTCACTTGGAATGACGATCAATTCAGAGAATTTATCACGTTCATCTTGTGTTAAATCGGTGAATAAATCTAATAATGTGGTTACATTTGAATAACACATGCCACCTGGTTTCAATAATCTGTAAATATTTTGAACAGCAAGATTTTTATCCTCAATCCAATGGAGTACACGATTCGAAATGATTAGATCAACTTGATTTTCATATTTACGAATCACTGGATCCAATTTATCCCATGGTAATGATATATCTAAAACCTGATAACGAATACGTGGTGATGGATAATTTTTCTGTGCAAATTTAATTGCTCTCATATCAATATCAATGGCCATAATTTGTTCACATCGAAGTCGACAATCGATTAAACTTGTTACACGGCCACTACCGCAGCCAATATCCATAACAATGTCATAGCTAGAATAATTTCAATGCAAATTAATTTTTTGGTTATTCGACAAAAACAAACAAGTAAATACTTACTTATAGCCATTATCATCAATAATATTGTCTAAAGATTATTAGCATCACGAAGATGGGCATGATTTGAATAATCAAATTCTGCAATATCGATTTCCATTTTTGACCATTCACTACAACAATTTTTAAAATATTACTTCAACAATAATAATAATAATAATAATAACAATGAAGACGATTGAAAAGAAATAAAAAATTTGAAGATTTAATTCCAATTTGGTAGTATAATGTTGTATTATATACTAGATCAAACTAGAACATTTGATATAAACACACAAAGACAATGTTCATTCGTTTGTCCGTATGTTCATATGTTTGAATACAAATAAATAATCAATCGATGGTGTCATCAATGCTCTCTCTCTTTTGCCAATATGGGTAAACATAATAATAATCATCAACATTATATATTGGATTTAGCATTGAAAACATTGCTGAACATCATCATCATGTCGGGGTGATTTCCTAATAAGGATTTACCATCATCATGATGATGATGATGATGATGATGATGATTGGGTTGTTTACAATCAATTCAATCATCGAAAATTTTATTTTTTGAACCCAAATCTTATCGGCAAAAATTTTTTTTTTTTTTTTTTTGTTCAATAAATACCAAGAAGTATATATTCAGTATCATTGTACAATATTTTATCATTGAAAAGATTAGACAGATTTTTTTTTTTCGTTGTCATTTATTTGATTGAAAGCATAATAATGTATGTATATATTGGATGGCCAAAACAAAAACAAAGTACCAAAATATCATATTGTTTATCTATATCTCAAATGAGTGTGTGTATGTGTGTGTACAATGCATAAAATTGATGATGATTTTTTTTTTTAATTCTAAAATAAACGCTCAAATGATGATCACATGATGATAATTGTGTTGATGATGATGATGAGAAAAATTACTTTCAAAAATCATCATAATAATAATAATTATTATTGTTATTATGAAAAAAAATGAATCCAAGAAATCGCGAAAAAAAAGTACACTTGCATGTGTTGACATGTTGATGATCATGTAAACATAATAATAATAATAATTCCAATGTGTTATGAAAACTGTTATTTTTTTTCATTTAAAATTCCATTTGAAATTCTTATTTCAACAATAGCAAAAAAAAAAAAAAAAAAAAATGCATCGACCACCATCACCACCACCACCACCACCATCATGCTGCCATTGAACATTGACAGAAATTGAATATAAAAAAAAACAAGAAAAGAAAAAAAAATGGAACAAAAAGTGTGTTTGTATGTTATGCGGTTTTTTTTTCATGGATCGACCTTGACACTTATATATATAATTTATATATATATTATATTTAGGAGGGATAACATTTACTTCGTTATGTTTTTTTTTTTTAGGTCACTTTCTTTTGGGCATCAAACAACATTTTTTTTCTGTTTTGTTTTGTTTTGTTTCATATAGCAATTGTTTTCGTTGTTTTGTGTTTGTATTACCGTATTATTTTTCATTTGTATACGTGTGTGTGTGTGTGTGTGTGTGTAATTAAATTTCAAATTCAATTCATCATACACATACACACACGCACACAAATAAACAAACAAACAAACAAAGAAAACACAAACGAAACATAAAAATTGGTTTGTTAAATTCAAATGAACAAAAAAAATCTGATCATAATGATTTATTCAATTGATTTTCTTTTCACTCGTATCGATTACTATTTGAATGATAATGATTGAATGAATGCAAAATGCACATTTTGGAATTCAATTTTGATGAATTTCAATAATCGATGATGATGATGATGATGATGATAATAATAATTTGTTCGCTGCTATAATCGGATTCATATGAAATTTTTCAAAATTTTCTAAAAAAAAAAATTTATTCGACCTTAGATACGGCCATTGCACTTGATTTGATTGAACATTGTGTGAATGGACTGACTGAATGAAAGAATGGTGAGCCAGAAATTCATCATTACGGTATTATAAATATCAACAGAGAAAGAGAGAGAATTTTCAAACGCGACAATTTAAAAAAAAAAAAAATTTTTTTTTTTTTAAATTTAAATTTAAATTTTGTCATCATTTTGTAAGGGAATTTATTTTTATTTTGGAACAAACAGCCAATATACACACTATAGTCCATTTGGATGCAAAAAAAAAGTAATAATAAAGAGAGACAGGAGACGATGGTGATGGATACAAGAGACGATTTTGTAAATTTGCCAAAAGTAAACTAAACAAACACAATATAATAAGAAGATATATAATATGCAAGCTACCTTGACCTATAGCGTGTAGTTTGATAAACAACAACCGGTCCGTTGTTGTCACCGTTATTTATTCATTCATTCATTCATTCATTTTTCATTTTCATACATTCAATTCGTACAGTTTTCTACAAAAAAAAAAAAAATTTTTTTTCTTGACGGTGATCTGTGATCATATTTTTTTTTTTTTCTTCAATTTGACGATTGATTTGTGCTATGTCGTTGTTGTTGTTGTTGTTGTTTGCATTATCAGTGACAACAACAACAACAACAACGTTTGTGTGTGTGTGTGTGTGTGTATATGTCACAATCCATTTATGGATACCAGAAAAAAAATGTGGGAAAAAATCTTTTTTTTAATATTTCATTTCATTCAAGAAAAAAACAATGATTTTTTTTTCTCATTTGTATACAACAAAATAAGTTAATCCATCATACGCAATTTATAAACTGATGCAACAATTTCGTTTACATTATCCATTTGTGAACAAGAAAAAAGAAACAACGAATGAATCCAATCCAATTTTTTTTTTGCACACTCGATTCAAGAAGAAATAATGCACATCAAACCGTTTCTGATTACAAATCAATCATTTTCCACAAGCTCATTCACTTGTTTTACCTGATTTTATTATTATTTATTTTTTTTTTTGGCGACAAATCAATGAACCAAACGTCAATTTTTTTTTTACTTTTTCTGGAAAAAAAATTTTAAAAGTTTAATGTCCGTTATATGATTTGATTACATCAACAAATATATATATATACTGAATGTTTAAAACATTTGATTTCTAAAAAAAAAATGGAATGAAATGAAATGAAACAACTAAACAAAAACGACAACACATTATCATCATCATAATGATATATAAATTTGGAAGTTATGACATTAAAAAACACATAAAGTGGATATATATTTGATTTTGGATGACAAATTTTTTTCTTTTTTTTTGCTTTCTCTTTCTACTTCCCAAAAGGTGCAACGCACACGTACATAAACATAAATAGAAAGACATCATTTTCTAGTTAATAAATTAATTAAACCAAAACAGGAATAGGGTGAACAGAAACAAAAATTATCATCATCGTGTTTTTTTTTTTTTAGTTATCATCGTAATCGTAATATATATCAAGATTCATCATGTGAAACAGAAAGGAATGAAAAAAAAATCAATTAAGTATATTTTGAATGGTAAAAATTTCAGAATAAATATGATTCATTGAATTGGATTTAATTGAATTTTGAATTCAACGTGTATTTTTTTTTTAACTTTGGTCATTTTCAGAGTTTGTTCGGAATGTGTTTTTTTTTCTAATATTTAGACAATTGTTGAGTGGTAGCCGCCAATGGATGTGTAATAACAGCAATACGTGAATATTTTTCTTCCCAAAAATCATTTGAATTTAATGAATGTCGTGATAAATTATGATGATGATGATGATTATAATGACCATGGCTATTATTAAAATATTTATCATTTGTTGTATTTCCAAATGGTGAACGATTCATTGATGATGATGTTGATGAAAAATGATTGGAATTATAACGAGAATTTGTTGTTGTTGATGATGATGATAATGATGAATTTAAACTTAGGCTACTTGATTGATGATGATGTGAACGTATTGGTGATGATGAACCAGATGATGATGATCCTGGCGATGATGATGTTGATGATGACGAAGATGATGATGATGATGATGATGATGTTGCCATGAATGATCCACGTCTTGGAGATCGATCAATATCAGGAACAATTTGATCTCCATCATTGCCAGGGTAGTTATTATTATGATAATTATTATTCCAACAACTTTTCCAACTCATTTTTGAAATTCTTGATAAATATCATTGATTGAATTGAACGAAAAAAAAAATAATGATCAAATTCAAATCATTCAACTATGAATGATAGGATTTGATCTCAAGAATAATTTAAGTAGTTATTGGATTGAATTGATGAAATCATTATCATCATCATTCAACAATAATCATCTAATTTAACCAATGCCAATTGTTGAAAAATGAATGATGATCAAATGATGATTCAATCGAATTTGTTGCAGATTGTTGCTTTTCTTGTAGTAGTTGTTGTTGTCGTTGTCGTCTGTTATATGGAATTCGTTGATAATATCTATCCGTATCATTAATGTTATCATATGAAATAATTTGATTGTTTTTACGATTTTTGTTGTTGTCTTCGTTACAGGCAGATAATGATTTGATACTGTTTGTTAATAATGATTAGAAAAATTAAAACAAAACAAAACAAAACAAAAAAGAATATGGAAAAAAATAGAGAGAAAAGATATACTATGGTGTGGATAGGTTTGGATCAATTAATATCTCCTTTCTCAACACACACACACACACAAATATTCTATAGTTGGGTAGTATCATCTTTTGTTTTTTTTTCTCTATATTTGTGTGCATGTATGTCTTATGGATAAAAATTTTTTTGTTTGGGTTTTAATCATTATGAGGATGATGATGATGATGATGATGATGGCAAGTTGATGCGCGCTCGAGCAATACATACGTACATAATAATTGGTAGCATTATTTTTTTTGCCGTTATTATTGTCAAATTGTCGATGATGATGATGATGATGATGGTGATGATGATGATAATTGGATTGTGTCACAATCGATATATAGATGTGTTTTAAAATTTTGATGATGATTTTTTTTATTGAAAAAAAAAATTTTAGGAAATCCGATTCGAAAAAATTATTTTTTTACGTTCTTTCAAACACACACACACACATAAATTACTATCATTTCTCATCAATCATCGTTGAATTGTAAAGAATTTCACCGAAAAAAAACAACGAATGACAACACCCACAACGTAATTTCAATATATAACAAAATTTTTAATTTAAAAATGGCTGAAAGTGAACACATAACACGCGCACAATTTTATACCTGCGTGTTTAAGTGTGTGACTGTGTGTGTGTGTGTGTGTGTGTTTAAAAATAACAACAAAGTTTTTGGATCATTTTTGGAACAAAATATAGCAACAGGAGATTTGAACTAAAAAAAAAAAAAATGATTCAACAATAGCGACCAACAATCTCTCTCTCTCGCACTCTGTAAAGTTGCTGGCTCTTCATCATCGTTATCCATTCATTCATTCATCCATCACAAAATCATTCCAAAATGGTTTTTTTTTGTTGTTGTTGTTGTTGTTTTGCTACCAATGTGTATAATTGATGATGATGGTTGGTTTGTGTTTTTTTTATGAGTACAACTTGAATTATCAGCATCACACACACACACGCAGACAATTATAGATAGAAAAACAAGCGCGTGTAAATAGATTTTTGTAAATGGACCACATGGATGATTCAAATTCGGTAAAAGTAAAATGAAAGAGAAAATTAAAATTGAATGAAAGAAAAAACAAAAATAGAGAAAAAAAGCAAAGAGACGAAAAGTAAGCAAAGTATCAAAATGATAAATATAGAGTGAAACGTTTGATTCAAATGTAATGTTTCTGTTGGGTTGTTGTTATGACCCACCGGTAATTCGTTTTGGAAATCATTACCTTATCGATATTCAGATGAAATAATTTTATGAATTCAAACAAGAATCGAAATAGAACTATCAAACACCATAATTTAACATTAAGTAGAATTTCATAATGATCACATCAAGTTGTGATGATTAAACTTTATGAGAAGTGTATATAAAGCCAAATGATGACCAATTTCAATGGGTGAAAAAAATCTTGAAATGTGATTTAGAATTAGTTATGGCCTAATAGTGTGTTATGCCCACCTTTCAATTTCAAATTTATATTAAAATCATTAAACTACCCCCGAAAAATAAAAATTACATCAAAAAGTAGACATCAGACACATATATTGAGAAAAAAAAAGATTAATGAAGAGTGAAAGTGAAAGAGAAAGTAAGAAAACTAGAAAAATAAAGTGAGAGAGAGAGAGAGAGAAAGTAGAATCTCAACATTTCATTAGTAGGATGTGTCATGTCTGTGTCTGTGTGTTCATGATGTTGTGAATGTACATTCATCATCATCATCATCAGCAATGGTTTACTCATAATGATGTGATCGATTCTTGCATTATATAATTGTAGTATGAATAATAAATAAAGATGCAAGATGCAACAAGTGTCTAGTCTTTATAAACGTGTGTGTGGATGAGTGTGGATGTAAACAAGTGTTGATTACCAATTTATTGTATTTTATTTATTAAAAACAAGGTAGAACGGAAATTGTGAATATCAATTTTTGTTGTTGATGTTGCTTTTGTTGTTTCAACTATTTTTCAAGGGTTTTTTTCGGTTACGGCTAGATTGGTTGGTAGTGGTGGTGGTGATGGTGGTGGTGTTTGTCAGGAAAGAAACGCATTAAAAATAAACAAATTAAATGAAAAGAAAACAACAGGTAGCAAATGTTTATGGATCGATATTCTAGTCTTTATAAACGTGTGTGTGGATGAGTGTGGATGTAAACAAGTGTTGATTACCAATTTATTGTATTTTATTTATTAAAAACAAGGTAGAACGGAAATTGTGAATATCAATTTTTGTTGTTGATGTTGCTTTTGTTGTTTCAATGTTTGTCAGGAAAGAAACGCATTAAAATAAACAAATTAAATGAAAAGAAAACAACAGGTAGCAAATGTTTATGGATCGATATTCAATTTTTCTTCAGATGTAAATTTCCCCATAAATTATGATGAATCATCAAAATCATTGTTGCATATCGATTGTATTGCTTTCGTATTCATTTCAATGGAATCAAATCGATTTATCTTTTTTTCTGGTTTTTCTATTTTTTTTTTTTTGTTTTGTTTTGTTCTTGTGTATCTATCCATTTCAAAAATTTCAATCTGAATTGAAAAAAAATAAAACAAAATCAAAAATAATAATGACAATATCCATCTTTTACCTGTATCGAAACGAGGGTGTTTTCATCATCGATGTCATTTCAAAACACACAAACCACAAATTGCATTTTAAAAAAACATCACTAACGTTTGAGAAAAATGATCAAAAAAGATGAAAAAAAATAATGATAAGTTATAGGTCTACAATTTAGTGACAAAATTTTAAATTGTTTGTCTGTTTGTCATTTCACGGGAAAAACATACAAATACGATTGATTTGATCATTTGATTCAATCATAGTTCTCACGAATTTCCTGAGAAATTTGGTTCTTTTTTAGTACAATCTTCATTTATTGCAACATTTGGAATCATATTTTAGCTGATAAATTGATAAAATAATCTGATAATCATCATCATTTTTGATAAATGAAATATACAATTTTGCAATTTTCAAATTTAACCATGTATATCACATTGCTTATGAACGGATAGAGGCTGTCACGTGACCTTGAACAAATTTTTTTTTTCAGCTGAAATTATTCTCGAGCTTTTGTTGATTTTTTTTTTAATGTTCTGACGATTTTATAGGGGTGGTGATTGACGTATTCGTAAATTTTTTTAATTTCTTGTTTGTTTTTTCTTGGTGAATTTGTTATCACACGAATTATCATAATCATAATAAATAATTCATTTAATCATTCTTCTCTGTAGTTACGTAATTTTAGCTTAGTTCATTTTTCAATTGTAGATTCTCTTTTCAAATCGATTGCAATATAAGATTCTTTCATCATCATAAAAACTAAATAAAATGTCAAAACTAATCTCGACTGCTTTTCAACAATTGAAAAGTAAAGAATTTCGCACATATTTGATGAGGTATTGGTCTCTTTTTTTGCATAAATCGTTTATAATATTAATTTTTCGAATTTATTTTTTTTTCATTCAACTTGTTGGCGGATTTCGCGTGCCCAATAACACTTATTCTAATGAAGCACGGTAATTATTCAATTCTATTTAGATCATTTTATCAGTAAATGTTAATTTTTATCTTTTTTCTCTATTTATTCGTTATTGATTGAACGTTTTGAATTTCAAAGCATTTCTGGGGACCTGGTAAGTGTTTCATGAAAATTAAATGCAAAAGCTGTATTATCCGATTTTTGTTTGTTTGTTTGTCTGTAGTTGCCAATTGGGGAATTCCTATAGCAGCGTTAGCTGATATCCAAAAAGAGCCAAGCATTATAAGTCCAACAATGACTTGTGGTTTGTATATCAATATTGATTATATATTATCAACGGTTTTGATGAGAATTTTTTTTTCCAATTTTAGCATTGATCATTTATTCGGCTACATTTATGCGTTTTGCCATTCGTGTACAACCACGCAATATGTTATTGTTTGCCTGTCATATAACAAATTTTACTGCACAAACAGTTCAAGGTGTTCGTTATATAAACTATCGGTAATTATTGATTATTTTTTTATTGATAAAATTATTTTGTAATGAATTTGGTTATTTATTTTCAGAATGAAATCTTAAATTGAAAGTTTTTTCCGATGAATTCGTATTATTATTGTTGATCATTACATAATTTAGTTTTAGTTGATAATTAAGGCAATGCCAAAAAATAGAATTTATTTATTTGGAATTGAAGCCAAAAAAATATGATGAAATTATTATTGTTGTTGTTGACTGTTTTTTATTTTCAAAATTTAATTTGTCATAATGTAATCTGAATATTCCAGAATTAAATTTCAATATATTAACTCTTCTCTATAAATTTCAGCGTTTTTTTCAATTTCTAAAAGTTTAATTATTTGAATGATCCGCTATTGAAAATGTTTGTCATATCTTTATATCAAATTTGGATCATATTTTTTGCATCATCAATCTTTTTGTTTATTTTCAAATGTGTTACAAATGAAAAACAAAAACAATATAAAACAGAATACGATAACGAACAAAAAGCAAAAAAATCGGCAACAGTTGTCGATCCGAAAAAGGAACAACAGCCACAGACGAAAAACAAAAGTCCGGATAATCTTAATCTTACAACATTGGAGAGCATGGATTCAGCATTTCGACCTAGAAGTACACAAGAAGAATTTTTATCAAAAAATCTTATGAGTGTTATACCGGCGCCAGGTGATGAAACCATAGTGACTAAAACATATAAATAAATCATTATTCCCGCCATTTGGATTCGAAAATTTCATCATTACCGTAATTTACGTATTTTATGAACAGTACATCTTTAAAGGTCAAGAATTCAGTTTTTCATATAAACTCGATCAAAATATTCTTTGAGCTGCCAATTATTTTGAAAATTGTTGTTTAATTTTTTTTTTTGTAATAAAAATTTAATGTCTAAAACTTTATCAATATTTTCTTTCATAATACGTCGTAGTATAAATTTGTCTTCCACGATGTCTGCCGATCTTAGTGGTTAGTTTCTTGAATATCTAATGTTTTTAACATTAATTTTTTTTTTAAATTTTGTTTTAAATTCCACCAGATATGCGAAAACCTTATTGTGATAAATCTCAAGCTCTTACAGATGAAAATATCTTATCAGATCCATTCGAGCTTTTCCATCAATGGTTTGAAAATGCCAAACAAAATGCTGGTAAACATACTGAAATCAATGCTGTATGTTTGTCGACTTCATATCAGAACAAACCATCTTCCAGAATGGTACTTTTGAAAGGATATGATCCTGATCATGGATTTCGAATATTCACCAATTATGAAAGTCGAAAAGGAAGTGAAATTGTGTGTATCATTTCGTCTTATCAACTCAAATTATCAAATCAAAAAAACTGATTGTTCTTTTTATTTTAGGAACAAAATTCAAATGTTGCTTTGCTGTTTTATTGGGAATATCCACAACGCCAAATTCGTATTGAAGGACAAGCTCGTAGAGTTCCCGAGAGTATATCCGATCAATATTTCAATGCTCGACCAAAGCTATCTCGAATCAGTGCCATTGTTAGCCAACAATCAAAGAAAGTGGATTCCAGAGAAACACTGCTAAAAAGACAAGAAGAAGAGGAAAAACGATGGACTGATTGTGATGTGATTCCTAGACCGAATTTTTGGGGTGGTTATTTCATTAGTCCCGAACGATTTGAATTTTGGCAAGGACAAAGTGATCGATTACATGATCGTTTTATTTTCGAAAAATCTGATCAAAAAACATGGTTTCATTATCGAATTCAACCATAATCATCATATTTTAGCACTAAACAAAATACTCGTTTTTATTTGAACATTGATTTTTATTGAACAAAATGACAGCTCTTTCCATTTATTATTGTGTTCCATAAAGAAATTAACATTTTTTTTTCTTTATTCATTTCCAATCGATAAGATAAATTTTACGTGTAACTGGTGGTGCCAAATAAATTCTCATTCCATTATACATGAAACTGATGATTCCTTTGTAAGCGGTTCGTGGAACACCACATTTAAAATCATTCATCAAACCAAACATTGATGAATAATCGATAAATTCATTTTTCGTAAAATATGTTATACGATATGTGGAATTTGTTCCATGTACATAAATTGGATCCATTGTTTTCAATGCTATTGGATGAATATCTTGACTTTTATTATAAACTTGATATAAAAATTTTTGATCATAATTTTTTGAATACAATTGATCAAGAATAATTTTTCGATTTTCATAGAATGAATAATAGCCTTTTGAATGATGAATAAATGAAAGATGTTGTTTAAAGTATTGGCCACGACTAACACCTTTCATTCCTGATGTGCTTGTACGTGGTACTTCTGGCCGTACACATAGACGATTTTTTCTTTGTTCTGGCTGTCTAAGCCAATCATCCCAGAAAGCAATTGGCCATCTATCTTTGATTTCATACCATAAAGATCTTTTTAGCATCCAGCCAAGACCTGGGAAAAAATCTGTCAAATATAGTAACGATGTTGATGATTGATCGATCAGATGATCTTTTCCATTATCATTCCAGGCAGAAATACAAAAGATTGAATCATCATTATCGAGCAGTGTGGACATGGTTAAGAAATATTCGAAAAAATCTGGTGAAAAATTAAGATCATCTTCAATAATAATTAATTTATCAATCATTGGATAGGTTTGAAATGTTTTCTCAATAGCCCATCTATAATGGCGACTTATTTTAACATAGCCTTGGAATCTTTTTAATTTGGTATCAATATGTTCATTATGAAATGGAAAATAATAATGTTTCTGTACGATACTATCATTGACGAATTTTTCAATCATTTTATATACTGATTTTTTGTTACAATCTTGACTAACTACGATCGGCATGTTGATCATCATTTGAAGAATGTCATGACCAACATTTCTTTTTCTAAATGAAACAATCGTCTTGTTTCTAATCGATTTCAATTGATTCAAAGTTGATTGGATTAATGATAAACGATCACAAACAATCAATAGTACACAAATGTTTGTGTTTACTTTATTATTATCATCAACATCTTTATTGTTATTGTTTTCGGTTTGATTGAAAATCTTGTTCTTTTTGAATTTTTCATTCATCATCATCATATTGGACAATGGTCGTGATGATTTTTTCAGATAACCAGATTGATAGAAAAGATAGAATGGTACGGAAATTATTAGAAAAAAGAAATATTTTCTCAATCTAGCCATTTTTTTTCTCACTGTTGTTTCAAACGATTGAACGTATGTTATGGTTCGACTTGTGCACAAAAACTCAAAAAAAAATATTTGAGAAACGAATTTCGAATTATTATTTCGAATAACTGAGTGGCTGTGTCTGGAGAATCAGCATCTGGAGGAAACAATAATTTTCTAATATTAAAAAAAAACGTCAAATCATGTATTTGATTTATGTTTGTGAATGACCGGAAATGTTACAACTAAAAAAAAGATGCTTGTTACGCTTGTTGTTGTTGTTGATTCAAATTTTCTTTTCTTTTCTTTTCAAATCATGTCTCATCTTACCATAATAATAATGGTCCACAATGAATGTCTCCCATGTATATATGTACGTGAATCATATATGATTTTTTTTCCCTTCTATTGTTCTCGTATTGTCGATTGTAAAAAAAAATGATGATGATTGGTTGTCGAAATTTTCCATTTCATTTTCCATTTCATATTCGTTATTGTCACTATTATTTTTTTTTTTTTTTTTTTTTTTTGATTTCATTCAATCTTGCTTCATGTTTATATTTTATAAAAGCTTTTTATAGACAAAAAAAATTCACATATCTTTTTCAATTTTTTTTTCTTCATAACTCGAGTTTTTTTGTATAACTGAACAACCATTCATCATGCAGACTAGCGAGATAGCATCAACAAAAAAGTATACTACAGGCCAATAAATTCTTGTTGTATTTTTAAAAAAAAAATTCGTTTATTAAAAATGAATGAGAATGAATTGTTAGATAATCAAGAATAAAGTAAAAAAATTTGCGATTATATACAGTTTCATGGCATGTATGTGTGTGTGTGTGGTTGTAAATCATAATCAGTCATTCATAGCAGAATAGTTGTCATTGTCATTATCATCACTTTATTATGATTGTTTGTATGTGGTGACATTGTTTCCATCTTTATCATCTGGCTTGAATAATATAAATGTTTAAAGAGGGAATGCTTGGAAGAAAAAAATTAATGAAAAAATGAATTTGATGTGCAAAAATTCATATGGATTCATTCAACAAAAAAAAGAAGAAAATTTCAAAAAAAAAATAATTCGAGATAATGAAATCTATGGTAATTAAATGCATGCATGCATGTGTGTGTTTTGTTGTTGTTGTTGTAAGATGAGGTCGTCATCGCGGTCATCACACTTTGAAGAACTTTAAACAAACAAAAAAAAACGTCCATTATTATCATCATCATTATTATGATGTGTATGATTTTACCATTTGGTTGAGATTATGACAATAATAACAATATATATATATATCTATGTGCTACTACTATATCGTGTAGCATCTTTTCGTAATCTACGATTCAATGTTGATGTTGATGGATTGATAAATATGGCCTTATTATCATCATCAAGACTTATTGTGTTTGTACCATCTAGATTTGTGGCGATAGCACGTCTAGTACTACCATATGGTAATAGACTAAAATCGACACCATTCTCCGTTACTTTATTATTGCTGGTAATTTGTTTATTTTTTTGTTGATAATCTTGTGTGAAATTCGGTATCGTTAATTTCAATATATATGGATTATTATAAGAACCAATATATAGTACACGTTCATAAGGATTTTCTGTTGGTCCTTCGACAACTTCTGATAATCGAAAATTACTGCCATCAATTGAATGCAATGATCCTAATAAACGGCCATTCGAATCTAACTCTAGAACCATACCATAATCATTTGATATTGCTTCATCATAGAAAAAATGTAAATTTTTCAATCGAAAACCTAATCTTTCAAGATTAGAATTTGACCATTTTGATCCAAGCATTTCAATTTTTGGCCAAGTGCCGTGAAATTTTGCATAATTTCTTCACGTATCCATGGCTTATCGCTTAGCCAATCAATCATTGATGGTGATGATACATTGCGTGCATTCACTACAGGGAGCCAATATGTTTCTTGATATTTATCTAAACTTCTAATCAGATGTTCACCTTCACCGGGTAAGTTTTGTATCCATGTTTCGGTTTTACCACGTTGAGGACCTGTGAACAAAAAATTGTTTCGAATGTTGATTGATTGATTAAATGAAAATATAAAATCATTACCTCTAATATAATGTCGTACAACACGTCTGGCAGTGAATTCTACCACCAGGATAGATGTTCGATCATCCGATAATTGAACACTTGATGGATACCATAATCCTTGCATTAAAACTTCTGTTTGATTTAGATCCATATCAAAACGAACAACACGACCAGAACGATCAGGTTCCAGAATCATTCTTGGCCATTCATTTAAATCATGACGAGTACTGGCAATAGTTATATAGAAAACAATACCACCATTTGTTCCACCACCTTCATCTAAAGCTAGATGTGTCATATATCTTGAACCAACTTGATCAGGTGAAAGTAAACGTTTAACACGTAATCGTTGTTGATTAGCACCATAGAAGCTAATCTGATGTAAACCAAGATATGCATCGATAAAATAAAGATTGCCTGAACGATCAACACGTATTCCAAGTGGTCGTCCACACAATGATGCATCCCAATATTTTGTACGACATAATTCATTGGCCACTTTCACAATCCTTGTTGCATTACCGGTCTCTAGATTACAACGATATATTCCACCGCCAATGGTTCCAGTATAAAGATAATGTTGATATACAACAAGTGAACTGGGACCCATCAATGCACCTTCACATAAATGTGTAGCCTGTGAAAGCATATTGTTGGGCGTTAATTCACCACGAAATGCTTTGATCAATGGAAAGCTAATTATCAACAAAACAAAAAAATGAAAATAAAATTAAAATTTTTTTATAAAACCATCATTTGATTATAATAATAATATGATGATGATGATGATGATTGTGATCTTGTAACACCAATCCTAAATGTTCAAAAGAAATTATCATATTATAATATTCGATAATCTTGCTTTACAACTTTTTTTTCATTTTGTTTTTCTAGGAAATAATAATTCTGAATGAATACAAAAAAAAATTGTATATGGGCTTGGATATCTAATTCTTTTTTTCTGTATTATGTATGAATATGTGTGTTCATTATTATTTTCATTTGACCCAAGTGGACGAAAAAAAAAAAAACACGTGCCAATTTGGATATATAGATGATGACCATAGCACGTTTACAATGATGATGATGATTATGATTGCTTTAATTCACTGTCTATCGTTGGAAATTTCAATCTCAGGTCATTGTTGTTGTTGTTGTTGTTGTTGTTACGATTCTTATTTTTCTTTGCTAACAAAACAAACAATCAAAAAAAGAAAAATTTGATCACGCATGAGTAGTTTTTTTTTGTTCATCTTGAATAGTTTTTACATAGAATTTTAGAACGGACGAATAAAGCAATTAGTAGAAAAAAACAATTAATCGATAAACCTGTTGATTGTTGCTAGTTAATTCGATAATGCGATTATGATTGTCGATTATAAGTGGTTATTATCCACACACGTATTTTTAATGGCGATAAATTTTTCAGATTGAAATTATATCAAGACAAGTCATTCGTGTGTGTAATTATGTATGACAACAAACAAACAAAAAAACTTACTTGTATGATAATGGTCCGGTTTCAGGATATTGATGCGGTGCATAATAATTGTATGGACGAAAACATTGTACAAAATTTTTTGTTGTAAATAATGATGAAATCACTATTAATAATATTGACAGATATTTCATGATTAAATTTAAAAGATTTTTTAATTGATCCATTTTGAATAGATTTGATCGATAATGATGATGATGATGATGATGGTGATGGTGATGATGATGATGATAGTACATTTTGTAAGCAAAAGGAAAAAAAATTGTCCAATTCGATTCGATTCAAACAAAATGATTTATTACAACATATGAAGAGAATTTTGTTTATTGTTTGTTTGTTTTTTTTTCACTGAAATATAAAGTAGTAGTGAATCAAAATAGAAAACAAAACAAAAAAAAATTAGAATTTTATTGCCTCAATAAAAATCATTATCATGCATGAAATAAAATCCATGTTTCACGATTCAAAAATAAAAAAAATTAACCCTTGATTCTCAATGAGAATGATGTCAAAAAACACACACACGAACAAATGATGAACAAAATGGAAAAACAATATGATGGTAAGATCACTGAAAAAAAAAAAAATGTTGAAATTTAAAAACAAACAAATTTTTTTATTTTAAACAAACAAAAAAAAAAGAAAAGATGAACGAGATATGAATTTTTAAAACATAAAAACAAAATCCATTTTTTGATCCAAAATGTTTACATTACTGTTCATTTGGATCATGAATGGCATACTGACTGAATTATTCAATGAATGAATGAATGAATGAATGATGGTTATTCATATTCACAGCCATCCATCCGTATTTGACAAGAAAAAACATCCATAGTACATCACTATATACTACATGGTTCATTCAAAAGAAAAAAAAATTTATCATTTTTATCATTTCTTCTTTTTCTTTTTCATTTATTTGTTTCTACGATCTTACTATATATTCTATCTATATCATTGTTGTTATAAACATCGTTTTGGTTTTTATTGTATTATTGTTTTTAACTCTTTATGTGATGATGTTCGTTCGTGTGTGTGTGTGTGTGTGTGTATGCGTATGTGTCTGTATTTGGGTGTTTCATGTATACAATCAAAATCTAAAACTTGTCCATTTTCTCTCTCTCTCTCTCACTTTAATATGAACAATGTTGAACAACAAAATAAAATATTGGTCAAATATGAAAATGAAAAATAGAAAACAAAAATGTCTTTCTCTCTCTCTCTCGCTCGCTGCTTTTCGCTTTTTGTTTCTCTTTTTTTATATCTAAAATTCAAAAATTTTAACCATGTGAGTGAATGATGATGATGATGATTATGATGATGAATCCAATTGATAATGGATGCTTGGTAATAATATTCAGCCAGTCAGTCAGTCAGAACTACCGGCTGGTCCTGGTATGTGTGTGTGTGTGTGTGTGTAATGGTGGCCAGATAAGAAAAATAATTTTTAGTGAAAATATTTGGAGGGAAAAAAAATTTATTCCACAAAACACACTGACACATATATTAGGCGTACAATTAAACGGGTAAAATTTTGATAATGATGATGATGATGATGATGTGATGATAGTAAATGATAATTCACTTTGCTATGTTTTGTGTGTGTGTGTGTTAAAAGAAAAGTCTATTTTTTCGGTATCAACAACAACAACAAAAAACAATCTTCCTTTAAATTGAGATGAATGTTTTTTCCCATCTTTCTTTCACTGTTCATTTATTCACATTTTGGTTGATTTCAACGTTGTTGGTCTTTTGTTGTTGTTTTTTTGTCCATTTTTGGATGTTGATGGTAAGTATTATAATAATATAATCATCATAATAATGACGATGACGATGATGATGATAATAATATTCAACGCACACGCATACACACACACACACAAAAAAAATAGGGAAATAGTCAAATTAATCCAAGTCATCCACACTGTCCACACACACACACACACACACACATCAAAAGAATTATGGACACGAATTGAATAGAAAAATTTTTTTTTTTGCTTTGACAATTTATTCGGTTTTGTATTGTTGTTGTTGTTGTTGTTGTTGGTTTGTATACACGGACGTGTGTGTGTGTGTGTGTGTGTTGTGTATCGGAAAGTAAATTTCACTTACACACAAAAATAATTCATGCCTTCAACACAGTAATTTTGTTTTTTTGACTGTTAATTCAAAAGAGTCAGCAATAGAGAGTGAGACAATTTATTAGATCAATGGCTATCCTTAATGCACATTTTTGGTCATTACATAAATTCCTGGATTATATATACATATGACAAAAGTGGTGATTGTACACAATAACCTGTGAGAAAATAGCTATGCTGTTCATCATCATCATCATCATCAATTGATCAGAAATCCATTAGAAGTATGCAAAAAAAAGATCTTTTTTTTTAGCCATCAAACACAATAGGATTAATGAATGATGATGAATTCCTTATTGATGATGATCATTTGAAAATCGAAAAAATCACATATGAAAATCATCATCATTTTCATTATATTGTGTTCATGTAATATTTTTTTTTTCAATGATGAAAAAATTCAATGGAGTAATTTAACTTGATTTTTATTGGCAAAAATGAATGAAATTTTTTTTTCTTTTCTTCTTAACGCCCCCTTCTCTTAAGAATACCTTGATTTTGATTTTGTTTTGTTTTTTGTTTTTGTTTTTTGTTTCTTGATTTGGAAATTTTTTTTCATATATTTCTTTCCTATACAAAATCAACGACAATTTTGTTCATTTATTCATTCATTCAGATGATAAATTGAAAAGGAATAAATGAAATAAGATGAATGATCGCAACTGGAGCAAAACGTTTAAAATGAACATTAACCGCGATACGTTGTTGTTGTTTGGCTATTGTCGATTTCAGATATTTCATTATTTTTACTTTTCAACTATCAAGGACGGATACATACACATGAATGTATGTAGCATGTTTTTTTTTCTTTTTTTGATCAAAAAAAAAAAGAACCAGATGAAAACAAAACAAAAACAATGTAAGCAAGTTGCCGATGAGGATATCAGCATCCGTAGCTAGCATAAACATAAAATGTACAAACAGTAAATCATATGTCGGTTGTTGTTGAGCCATTTATGGTACAAATGATATGGTCATTGTCCATTTTGTTTATGTAATAGATCTTTTTTTTCACATTTTTCTGCTCTTTTTTTATATATGTCTGTGTGTGACAAGGTCGATCAAAAAAAATAAAATAAAACCACACTAATATATTACGTGATTATTTTACAGGTTGATTTGTAAATTTTTTCAAGTGTGTTTATGTCTACATTTGATTGTGTCATTGTGTATTTTTTTTTTTTTTTTTTAATTCTAAAATTGCTACTGGTTTTTTTTCATATTGTTCTGTTTCCTCCTGTTCGTGTTCATCATCATCATCATCTTTATTGTCGTCATTGTAATCCGTTATATTGCACCGGATTTAGGTTGGGAAAAATAAAAAAAAAGAAATTCTCTGGCCATAATGATGTTGAGAATTGTATTTATGATCAAAATCATTGTCATGGCTGATGATTGTGGTATATTAAGAAAAAAAAATGTGGAATGTTTATTTTTATTTGACAAAAAAAAGAGAGTCAGAAAAAATTTCTTTTTTTCTTCTTCCTAAACGTGAAATTTTTTTTTAAAAAAAAGCTTAAATGATCATGATAATGATAATGATGATGATGATGGTTAACTGAGAAACAAAAAAAAACGTACAGTATTTGCAATTAAAATTCTTCGCTTCTGATGTTGGCCAGAAAAAAACAACAACAACAACAAAGAGAAAAAAAGAAGTGAAGAAACAAAAAAAAACAACGATATCGCGATCATCGAATATAGATAAATTTTTTGCTATCATTCCACATTTTTCTTTTTCTTTTTTATTTTCAATTTGCCTGTTGGATTGTTAAACATCAAGTACACATTATCATCTTCATCAATTTTCGTTTAATTTAGAAGAAAAAAATGAATTTACTAATTATCACGAAGATGAATGTGCATGAAAAAAAAATCCATGTATCTGTGTTGATGAAATAATTATTTTTTTTTCATTTGGCCCTTTTTTATTTACATTTGTTGTATTGATCCAAAACGAATGGATCATCGTTTCTTGGAAATTTTCCTTACGAAAAATTTTAATGATGATAATCGACGAGATAGAGAAAAAAAATTTGAAAAATTAATTAAGGATTCTATAATGTTTTTTGAATCGATAAAATCGATTTAAAATCGTTTATGATGATGATGAAGATGATGAATTGTATGCAAACAACATTTCATTTTTTTGTTCAAGGCATTCATCATCAGGCAGTAGTGTTTAGAAGAAACGCGTGGATCATAGCATGTGTTAGGATTTTCATCAACAGGTTAAATTTGCAAACATTGAAAATTTACATTTCTCATCCATCAAGCATCAAAATGATTGCATTGTTGTTATCATAACGATACAGAAAAAAAATATGATAAGCTAGATGTTGTTGAACATTGAAAATTTCATGAACAAATTGGAAATACAAATGAATTTTTGTGTACTTGTGTGATGAATTTTCTTTTTTTTCTATATAGATGAACCAATTAATAAAGATCATACAAACACATACACAAAAAAAAACTTAAAACGTTACGTAATTTTTTTTTCTATGAAAAATGCATCGATGACAGGTAACATTTGTGTCTGATTTAAACAGCTAAAAATGATGATTATGATGATGATGATGATGATGATGATGACAAGCCCATCAAAACTAATCTAATCACGAAAATGATCCATCCATTTTCATATATTCTACATTAAATTCAATACTGATTTATAATATGTTCACACATACGAAAAACATAACCATAATTCATTCATTTAGCTATCCAATCTGAATAAACGATGATGATGTATTCAATCATCATCATCATCATCAACAACAACAACAACAACGAATTCATAACAAAATGAAACATTTCAATAAAGACTAGCTTTTATTTGTTAAACTTTTATATTCTAAAAAAAAATTCACACAATTTCATTTTGTTTCAAACCATAAAGATGTTCATCATGATGATATTATCATCATCATCATGTGGTATATATAACTATATGAATGATCACCGTATGATATTAATCAGAAAAAAAATTTATCGTTTAAAATGTGCAATTAATAATTTAGATATGGA